CTTTCAGGGATTGTGCATGTGTGTGTTTGTGTTTGTCAGACGTGACGGTGAGAGTAGCAACCGTATCCTGTTGCTCCAGAGCGAAACACACTGTTTTGACTAGGCTGAGAAATTAGCTAGATCACCAGAGTCAGCTATTTTTCCTCCCATCTCCACACGCTCGCTCTCTTCCATCCTCAGGCCTTTACCTGCCCCCCTCCTCTTGCTCTCCCTCTCTCTGGGTGCTAAGGACAGCAGGACAAGGAGACAGTGATGAGGTACATATCAGTGTGAACCAGAATGTAGATTAGTACCCTCTCCAGGCAGACATAAATACAGACGCACATGCGGATACATTTGCTCTCTCTCCCTACCTCTCCCCTCTTTCATCCAGTGTTTATGTCTCTGTCTTTATCCCTGTGAAAGGTATCAGGCGGAGGTCAATAATGTGTTGAGCACTATTGATCTGTGTGGTAGCTCCTATGGGTGACAGAGAAAGAGAAGGGAATGGAGAGGGAGGGTTCATGTTCTTCCCCTACAGGCCATCTACATCCTAAACTGTACCAGCCTATCAAATCAAGGAGGAAACTAAGGAGGAAAGCACAACATGATGTCAACGCAGGGAGCAATGACTCTGGATTCAGACGTGAATGCATTTTAAATATTTAGCCACAAAGACACGCTGCTGGGGTGAATAAGGTCTGTCACAGGGTTCTTTGAGTTGTCGCCATTGAACTATTAAATCAAAGGTTGTAACTTTATGTTGCATGTCTGCAGCGTTTCTGCCTGAAGCGAGAACCACACTGGCTTCCCACAGACTAAACTAGATAACCCCTGTCAGACTGAGAGGGAGTAGCTTCAGTAAAATTACCTCAATATAAGGCACTGTAGCCAACTGATATCTGCCTTTGTGCAAAGATGTGTCAGCTTCATTATTTCTGGTGATTTTTAGCAGTGCAGCTAATTATTATTTTCATTGGTTAATTTGAAGGCGATCTCATCAGTTGGTGCGAATTATTGAGACGACATGCAGCAAATGTCCTCAGCCAAAATCAGCCTAGAGACACTGCAGCTACAGTGCAACAGTCTAACAGACTAACAGTCTGTTTTTGAGTTTAAACTGTGGAATCAAGAGAAATGAGAAATATGAGGAGACTAAGTGAAATGACATGAAGCAAAGGTCCCAGGAAAAATTCAGACATTGTTCCATGTTATATGTCTTAGGTCACTCGTTCACCACGGCATCCAATTAATACTTTGTTCTGATTTATCATTGCAAAAAAGAGAGGTGAAGGCTGTCTATGAAAATGTCTTCAGACTGTTGAGTTTGTTTGCCATAACATCATTCATGCTGCATGCAAAGGGGAGAGAATGACATAAATGTGATAAAACCTCCATGTATATTTTGTAAGAGTTAAATATTATACTGGATTTTTATAGAATACTTTCATAACTACTTGAACCACAACCTCCATTTATACAGGTTGGACTGACAACAGTTGAAATACTTATGTTAACTGTAATATTAATGCTGATGTTGCTGTTATTTACCAAATTATGTAGTGTTATCCTTCCATCCATATCTATACCGCTTATCCTGAACAAGGTAGCGGGGGGCTGGAGCCAATCCCAGCTGACACTGGGCGAGAGGCAGGGTCCACCCTGGACAGGTCGGCCGTCTATCACAGAGCTGACACTTAGAGAGCGACTACTACACACACCCACATTCACTCCTACGGGCGATTTAGAGTCGCCAGTCAACCTAAGCTGCATGATTTTGGACTGTGGGAGGAAGCCAGAGTACTGGGAGAGAACCCACACATGCACTATATAGTTTTATTGTAGAGAAAATCTTAATTCATGCCACAATGATAAATTACATGTCAGGCCTGTAGTCCAGCCCATTGTTGGCCCAGGAACATTAAAAGTTTGCCTAATATTATTTTTGTGCAGACGTGGCTCCAGGATGCTTTGACACTGTGTTTGTGCAACACTACTGAGGAAGGCAATTAAAAAATGGTTTAAAGTTTAAACAGTGTAAAATATTCCCAGACATTTAAAAAAAAGCATCCTGTGGGTTTTATTGAGCTCTCAGCCAGCTTCAATGAAAGAAACTTATTATTTTTCATTCTGTTGTATGTCAGGCATTACACCCCTCTCAAATTGAGCTGCCATCCGATGCTTCTGTTGCACCCGCCTTCATTTTAAGTGATTTTTCTATATATTGTGCCTGAAAATGGTTAAATGAATAATTCAACTCAACTACAAACATTCATGTTCATTATATCTGCTAATTAGTCCTGCACTGTCTGCTTTGAATTGTGCTGTTTTCTTGAAATTGTTTCTTTGCATAAAGGTACACACCCGTGTTCTCTGTCTGTATTAGCAGTCATTGTTTACCTGCACTAATGTCAACAAGACAAATTCCTGTAGATGTACTTTCTTGGGGAATCAAGTTATTCTAATTCACAAAGGCTGTCACAAGACTTTCTGACCCTCTCCAACTTCTGATCCTGGAGTTGACAAGGAATGGCAGATAGAGGCAGTGCTGTGGGCGCCACTACAAAAACTAAAACTAGCACCGTTGAATCCTTTTGTATTTCCCCAGGCCAGTTGGTTTTAATAAAGACCTACTGCATACTAAGTCTACCTTAATATTTTGCTGGGGGCACTTGCTCTCTCTCTGTGCTTCCAGTTTACATTCACTTTTAATCAGCAAATTGGAGAATTCATAAGCAGATAGTTTGTCATTAATAGTCCTGAACAATAATGTGACCAAGTGATTGATTATGAATAGAACTCTCTCTCCTTTAACATCATCTTTTTTTTGTTGTTTTCCACCCCATCATGTTTTTTTTCCTCCTCTGCCTCACTCTTGTCTCCTCTAACTCACTCTCTCCTCTAACTCACTCTTGTGCCTTCTCTCTCTCTCTCTCTTTCTTTATCCTGCATCTTCTTATTCTCTCTCTGCGCTCCTGGAGCGGGGGATGCCAGGGGGACAGAGTGCAGATAGGACCTGTCTCCATGGCAACAGCTTCTGCAAGCTGCTGACACCCTACTAGGGGGATGAGGGGAGGAGAGGTTTTGATGGGGAGGAATAGTACAGGGGTTGGGGCACAGGGGGTAGGTGTGTGTGTGTATGTATGGGTTTGTGTGTGCACACCAGTGCTGGGAAAATAAGTGAGGGTAGTCACGGAGAGGAGAAAAGATGGAGAGAAAAGTGTGCGGACGAAGAAAGAGAGGGAGATGGATAGGAAGGGAGGATGGAGAAAGAGAGGAGGAGGCAGCCAACCCTGCTTCTTCCCCAGGGACTCAGTGGCCTGTTCATGTTCACTAGCCGAATTAGCATAAAGATGGGGGGAGGTGTGTGTTTATGTATGTGTGTGTGTCACGGTGAATATGTGTGGTTTTCAGTTTTTTATGTGTGTGTGTTGGTTTCAGATAGGAGAAGAAGGGCAGATAGTGAATTTGTGTACATGCGTGTAATTGGTACTATGTGCTGCTGTCCAAGCATACAGCGTGTGTCACCTGGGTATAGTGTTTGTTAGGTGTGCGTGCTGGTGGAACGATGGATGTCTGAGTGTGTATATGTGTATGTTTGTGACAACAACTCCCTCCCCCGGGCCTTAAGCCCCTTCCATGTTCGGGTCCTGTAGCCTGTGGTTCTCCCCTGTCTGCCTTTCTGTACTGAAAGGCTGCACTTTGTGAGCCTGTGATGCAACTCTTTGTGTCTCTGTGTGTGTCTGTTTATGTATTCACGTGCTTGTGTGCATGTACGTGTATCTTTGTTCTGGCATACTTATGTAAGCACTCTGAACATGCATCTCCATCTGTGTGTGTTGACAAGAATACAGTTATATCATTATTTAACTCCCAGGCTGAATCACTCTCTTGATTTTACAGTTTGCATATGCTTTCAGTAAAATTAATAATGCATGATATAGTATGCTACTGGTGTGCATTATAAATTCAAAGCCAAAAGATTTTTCCCATAGGAAAAAGCCATTTTTACTTAGACAGTTTCATGAACTCTTGGTTTGTTATAGTTGTAGGAAAACTGAAGAAAAAAGCATCAGCTCGAAACATCTGTCTTACAGACCACGAGTTTAAGTGTTAGTTGTCATTTGCTTTCAGACATTATCTACATTATTTGCTCCCCAGCTTCTGTAACACAGCATCTAACGGGTATAACAAAGTACAAACGCAACTTATTTGCTGATGACCTGTTACTGT